ATATATATATAATATATATATATATATTTTTTTTTTTAAGGATGAAAAAAGTACTGTAGTGCTACCAATATTCCAGTATTGTTATTGTTAACTAAAACTATTAAAAATATTTTTTGTTATTGAAAATAAAATAAAATAATAAAATAAAATATTAAATGGAAAACTTAAGTAAAAAAAAAACACTTAAAAATTAGAAATACTGCCTTGGTAACTCATTGAAATAAAATACATTTAAGTTTAATTAAATTACTAAAAACTAAAATAAAAATAGAGGTAAATAGAAATATATTTTTTAAAAGCACAAAACATAAACTACTAAAATTAAAATGAAAACTGAAAATATAAAAATAAAAATGAATTCAAAATATGAATACTATAATAAGTATATAAATAATACTAAAATAACACTGAGTGCTACCATGGTAGAGTGATACCATGGTAGTTTAATATGGTCTGGCTCCTCCAGCTTTAAAATATAAGGTGGGCCAAGCTCATGATTAGGTGGATCAGGACCACCCAGTCCCGCTCTGCAATCGGGCCTGTTATATACTTTTTACTTCAAGTGATTATGAAGCAGCCCAAGAGCTTATCCTTTCAGTTTGTTCCCCCGACAGGACCACAAGTATGTCCCAGACCCATATGGGTCAGCGCCAAGAGATTAACAACTTCTGAGCCTTAATAGAGAGGGTTTGTCACATGACAGCACCAAGCCACAGTGATGTTAAAAAAGACTGACACGGCAATACTTCTTTGATTCCAGCATGAAGAATAATGACAAACCAACATTTACCATAATTACACGTCTTATTTTGAGAGTCAAGGTTGAGATGTGGGCAAGTGAAACAGCGTGGAGTGCAGTGGAGCTGATCTGCCACACTAAACTCCAAATCCCCAGTTTTAATCAAGTAAGCTTTAAGTGTCTTTGATCTCACGCTGCTGATGTAAGTGGTGCTTCAGCTTAGCAGTATGAAATATGAGGACAGAGTCAGCGTAGTAAATATTGACCCATCCAAACTATCCCGGAACGACCTCTTAAAGGGCACGTATCATATTTATATACGCTTAACCTTACTGTAGGTGACTGAGATGGAAGAAGTGAGAAGTCAGAGCCAACGGTTGTTTATAGCCAGTGACCCCAATACTTGTGAAGAATTTGAACTCTTTTGGTCTGTTTAGTCAAAATACTCTCCGTTTCTGAAGCGTCTTCAAATACAAGCTGAGAATGATGCGACTTGATTTAACACCTGATATGTTCATGTTAATACGAATTGTTTGGGATATGTAAATCTGAGGGTTTTTCGCGTGAGACTGAATATACCGCAGTCGTGACAGCAGCGCCGGTCGGATGCGCAGCGCAGGCCTCCATGACAACCGACCACTGCAGCGCTGCGTCGGCTGCGCAGACACACTGTATAACACAACAATACGATGTGATTTATAACTGTACAGACTTGAAGCACTTCATTATAGTGAGAAACATTAAATAAAGTTCCCTGTTGCTCCCGTATCGGAAAACAAACAAATTATATATAGGCAGATGCAACATCGCAAATGCTCAAACTTAAGTTCGTTCGTAATTACAGGATGAAGTGCGCGATGGAGAAGGCAGCGTTGACTTCCTCATTCGCCTATTTAGGTGATAACAGTCCGTTAAACAGCGAGCAGGTGGCCGAGAAAGGTGCAGTGAATGACACCGGTTTAACTCGTGTAAATTGTGGGATAACCCATGCTGGAAACCCGAACAGGTCTAAAAAAACATCCTAAAAGCCGGCGAGGCTTACCGTATTATTCTTCCGCCGCTGTAGATGTGGAGAAGCCGGGCCTCATTTTGGTGATAAACGGAAGAATTAAACAGAAAATCGTTGCACCGGTTGCCTCTCAGAGTATATTTGTAGCCGGCTCTTGCTGCTGTCCGGCGATAACTGACATATTTTACTTCACTGCAGCAGTAACAGCACATGCTCAGACACCGGCTGCGTTTCAAAACACAGCGAGCTGCCTACCTAGTAGCCACGTCCGATTCGGCATCGAATCATTCTTTTGAGTCGGATCTCTGTGATGATTTGGTTGAATCGGTTCACAAAACTAGTCTTCGTGAATCCGACTTAATTGGTCTGACTCTGATTCACTGACTCAACTGAATCACGAGTCGTTTCATTCGAGCATGCTTGATTTGATTCGCAATGAGCCGAGAACGGAGTGATCAGAAGACGTGACTGTAAAATATCAATAGCGAAACGACTTTTATAGCGGTAATATCAACACACATATGAAACAAACATTTTCACTTGTTTTATTAGCATTTTATTTTATTAAACTGTCGAGGCTTGTAGTTCACTAGGTTTTAAGACACACACTCATATCAAGTGTCCACTATTAACTGTTTCACTGCTGTTTTCATCTTCAGCGTCACTCTTGTGTTATATAATACATGAGCCCCATGACATATTGATGGCATTATGTTTTATACTGTATGTTAATATGGTAAAAAAGAAACCACAGGCATAATTGAAATATTGAGTACTGGGGTATAAGATTAGAATACAGCCAGTGGGGCCAGGTAGCTACTGTTGGGACCAAGACGAGTCCACCTTGTGGAGTCCAGGTTCTTAACCAATTGATGTCTTATCTTAATTTTATGTTGCACTTTATTTTAATTATTATTATATATTTCATGTTACACATGACATGAATTCGAGTGCACTTGGAAAAAATTCGGAGTCCAAAATGTCAGAGTCCATGTCAGATTCGAGTCCAAGTACCCCAACTCTAGATCCGGGGCTTCGAGCTGAAGAGCCCATGCAACTGAACACAAGGTACTGCAAATGTAAAACTCATAGACAGTGCCTGATCATGTGGCAGTAATATAATAAAACACAAATTATCAATTAAAAATCACAGGTGCATATCAATATCACAATTAAGTTGAATTAACGCATTAAGTATGAGGTGTCTTACATTAAAATCCTGGACTTTACTTACAGCTATAAACATAAATCCCCTGTGGCTGCAGGATCATAATCTTTTCTAGAAAATATAACCTCACTTAATGGCACAGTTCACCCAAAAATTAAAGTTCTGTCATCATTTACTCATGTCATACCAAACCTGTATGACTTGATTATTTCAGTGAAACACAAAAGAAGATATTTTCAGGAATGTTGATAACCAAATGTTTGGTATCATTGACTTTCATTGTATGGACAAAAAACACTGAAATGTTTCTTAAAATATCTTTTATATTCCACAGAAAAAAATACAGGTCATACAGGTTTTGAACAAAATGAGGGTGAGTAAACGACAGCTTTTTATTATTGGATTAAATATCCCTTTAATAACAAATGAAAAACATTAAAATACTGTTTGCCTGATATCTGTCGTGTAATTTTTTCCCCATCACAATTGACTCCAAATTTCCATCTCTTTTGTAAGGAATGAAATTATATTCTACCTATTCTGTTTTAGATATGATGGCAGTTCATTAAAACAGGTCTATAAAAATATCATTCCCCAGCTGTTGTCCAAAAATACATCCTTTAAACCTCTAAGCTCAGTATCTTTGGTTGCAAGTGTCAAATTATACATTACTTATTGAGATTTTCCAAAAATATTTACAAGTTCAGTCTGTTGTATGTGTATACATCCTTGTCATTTTAATATTTAAAAAAAAAAAAGTAATGTGCGATGAGTGTGCGAAGCTCTGCGTTGGCCTAAAGATATCAATATTTGATAAGCCAGCTGCAGAGTAAACTGGGTTGTATCACATATCCCTGGTCTGAAGCGGTCTGTTTTTTGCTGCGTGCATACGTGAGGAATAACTCAAAAACCACACTCTCATACAAGCTCATTCTTAAGAAGGTGCATCATTGTATTAATGGGGTTGTACCTTTTCAGATTTCCCATCACCTCTCTGTATATGCAAGTGAGAGCTAGGGAGGTTTCCTTACAAAAAGACATTTCAAAGAATACGCTGTGCATGGCAAATCCATTACAACAAGCTTTGATAACCACCAAAGGCCCAAAATGCGCCACTGTACAATAACACCTCCCTCCTGTTTTCATTTACATATTCACAAAAGAGAAATTACATAGGAGCAGTTGCAATACTCGTGAAAAAGGTAGAAAAAGAACGTTCCGTTGTCTTTCTGAATAATTTAAACCACTGTGGCAGGACGGGCTAACAGAACCGGAGAAAACAAGCATCCAAATAAAGAGAAACAGAAGTCATATAGTCCTTCACATCAGCTCGGAGCAGACATGTTACAAAACAACGCAAGAGACAAAAATGACAGTTCGTCCCACCTTTACATTATGGTTTGGAAGGACGTTGTTTCAAGAAACGTTCAAGATTCTTACATTTTCTCAAGTCATTAGAAAGAAAATGGTTATACTTGATAAAAAAAGAACAGTAATAATAATTGTAATTATAATAATTATAATTACAATGACAGAAGTAACAGCCGATGGTAAATAATAATAATAATCAGTCCTGTACAATCAGGTCAGTCCTGCGATTGGCCACAGGCTGCAAAAAACAGAGCGCTTCAGGCTGTTTTAACCCATGGAAATGTCAGGGCTTTGCAGTCATTTCAATGGCTTCAGCTGTAAAAATGGGCCACCTGGACAGGGCTTTCTGACCGCAGATCCGTTCTTAGGTCCATCAGTCGCTGAGAGCTGAAAAAATCTCTCGAGTCACCTGAAAATTAAGCATTGAAGAGATGCTGTCAGAATTTGTAATACAACACAAGACATATTTTTGCTTTAATATGTTGGAATTAGTGCTATGTACTGAAAACATATATTTACAGCATTGCAAATAATACAATGACATAAGCTATTTACAGTATTCAAACTTGTACATGAAAGTTACACATTAAAAAAATTAATTAATACCCCTATTTGGAAGTGTTACACGATATAAAAAAAAAAGAAAAAGAAAAAAAACAAATAGGCTAGAAAAGATCAAATTTAGGAGTATTTTTAAGGAGTTGGAGTAGGAGGAGTACTCTGTTTTAAAGTTTGGGGATGGTTAGATTGTGCGATTTAAAAAAAGTTTTGAACTGGAGTGTATATACACATTTTACATTTGTTTCTGATAGAAGTTTTTTTTTTTAATCTAAACATTTTTAAAGCTCAAATGTATAAAATTATCTACGTCATTTGAAATGGTCAGGAGAGCTGTACCTGCTCAACTGCTCAGAGTGTAGCAGTCAGTTGTCAAAGCAGAGGTCAGTCCAGCTCGTGAACCTCATCCTGCAGGCCAGAGGGAGTTCGACCTGCTTCAGACACCCTCTTGGCCATTATTTCCCACTGAGGAGCCAGAATTTTGGGTTTGGACCCTGACACACATAAAGAGAGAAAGAGAGGGGATAAATCCATCTATACATTTTGATAAAAAAACATTTACACCCAATATAATATAATATTTACACTCATATATATATATACACTGAACAAAATTATAAACGCAACACTTTTGTTTTTGCCCCCATTTTTCATGAGCTGAACTCAAAGATCCAAGACTTTTTCTATGTACACAAAAGGCCAATTTCTCTCAAATATTGTTCACAAATCTGTCTAAATCTGTGTTAGTGAGCACTTCTCCTTTGCCTAATTTTGTTCAGTGTATATATATATATATATATATATATATATATATTTATTTATTATATACACAATTTTATGTACATATATTTGTACTGTCTGGTGTACAGTATATTCCATATTGTGTGCATTTGTAAATACTAAAAGCAACAGCTGAAAACTCATCTCTTTCGTCAACATTTGACTGCATCCTTTGCTTTCTTTCCTTGATCCCTCCCTGTCTAGCATGTTCTAATCTGAACAATGTCGGAAACCTCCTATTACAACAAGCACTTCCCTGTGTTTATTTTTCATCTTTATGATGAATCGCTTGCTGTTTTCCGCAAATGTAAGTTCCTTTGGATAAAAGCGTATTCTAAATGAATAAATGCAAATGTACTAATTATGATAAAGTAGATATTTTCGTCGACTAAAACTAGACTAAAATGTCATCAGTTTTCGTTGACTAAAACTAGACTAAAATGCTCAGACTTTTAGTTGACTAAAACTTGACTAGACTAAAAAGAGTATGAACGTGACTAAAACTAATAAAAACTAAAATGACAGTTTCACACAAAGACTAGACTAAAACTAAAATTAAAACAGGCCGCCAAAAACAACACTATAAACGAGTTGAGTTGAGTCTCTAGTGTGCTTAAATAAAGAGAGCTTTTTGTGTGGGACATGAAGTTGCTGCCTATGTACAGCACTCAAAAACAGTCACTTATAAGATTCCATTCCATTTAGGATGCTACCTTAGAAGACAGCTACTCATGTAGGAAGTACGTATCAGAGCAGCTTTCCAGGTTTTGAAAAAATGCTACCATCATTGAGACTCCAGACACTGCTCCATTCTACAGTTTCATGAGCCGTTCACCCTGAAGAGTCATGTCACCCTACTAGTTCTAAGAGGTACTACATGCACTCTTCTGCTAACCCCATCCTTTACATAATACATGCTGCTCACACCACAAAGGACCTGGTTTGAAGACGGCAACATGGAAACGACCATGTGCCATTTATCACAACCACATAACACCAACCATATCAATAAGTGCATTAAGACCCCAAATATAAATTAAAATATAAAATAAAAGAAATCTGAAAAATCAGTATGGGGGTAAAGAAAAAGGATTTGCTGCTTTGGACAGAATGGTGCCAAGCTCATCAGAAATTTATATAACTGCTGAACACTGGTTTCTCTCCAAAGCCTTCATAGAGACAAGAGGGTAATGAAGCACTGTGTGACAGGGGATCATACATAAGTGTTCCTAATATCCGCGCCACATGCTTGGGAAGCCCTTCTTTTGAATCTACGGTTACAGTGACTTTAGTCTGTGTTTTTGGGGTCTGATCTCCCGCAGGACTAATGATCCATGTGAGACACTGCTGATCCGTTACCATGACAACCCTTAAAGCCATTCGTCTTACACACAAGCCGATGGCTTACCATCCAAACCGTTGTGCTGCTCGTAGATGCGTTTGCCCAGGATGGTGGGGGAGCCATTGTTGAGGATGGGCGTGGATTTGATGGGCGTCAGGCTGCCCATGGAAATGGTGGCTCCTCGTGGAGGATCTGATTTGGTTGGGCAGGGGTGGGCCTCTGGAAAATGGTTTGAAAAGACATGAATAAAATGAGTTTGCTTGAAAATTTGAAAAAAATTTTGAAGAAAGACAGCTTCACTCACCCAGATATCTAACCACTGACTCTAAAGGCTTCCTTACGGTCTGCTTTAGAGATGGAGGCTTTTTGGACATATCTGGCAACCTGATGGCAACTGAAATAAGAAATGCCATTAAAATTCTATATTCTAATTAGGTTCATGTGGTAATTCAGTACAGAGTCAATGACACAACATTTTATTTTTAATTCAGAAATACAAACACACACACACACACAAAAAATCCATTTATTTTCTTGAATACTCATCTTATGATGAACATGCTTTTCATCATATTTTGATATTTTTGGAAGCAAAAAATGCACAAAAATTTTTTTTTTTAAAAATAAGGGTGGCACAACTGATTTAATAATGAAGACAAAAAGCCTCTTTAAAAGAATGTAGTAATGGTAGTTTACATATTTTTTAATTATTCATGTATACATAATTTTTGTTTTTTTAAGAAATTCTAAAAAAAAAAAAATTTTTTTTGAAGAGTTTTGATAAAACTTATTAATACCGTAAAATATTAATAACAATATTAATTTTTAAATTAATTAAATATTTTAAAATTATTTAATTAAATATTAATTAATATTGAATTAAAATATTAATAAAACATCAATAACATTTGTTTGCTAAATCAACTAAATCAGAAAATGCATTCAAATCAGTTCTGCGGTACAACCAATATACAGAAACATGCAAGAAAAAAACAACTGAAAAATTACTCCGGGAACTACCACATTTTGCTATAAGTTTGATTGCATCATATAATAATTGCTGTTAATAGTGTTCATCGTCTGTTTTATTACGTCTTAAATTGATTTTTTCGTACATTTCTGCCATATGTACATTAATTGACAGTCACCACTGATAAGCTACCACTAAATATTGTAGAAACTTAATTTGCTGTAAAGTTGCTTTGCAATGAAAAGCGATGTACAAATAAACTTGACTTGACTTGACTCAGGGCTGTGACAAGATCAATAAGTTTCTTAAAATATCAGATATCAATGATGGTTACAAAACATAAAATTTTTGTACCATTTCTAAGAACTTGGTTCATGTTTTAATCTAAATACAAAAAAAAAAAATCCCAATCATTTAGATACTCTTATTTGTCATTGACCCTCAATTTAATAATAAAAAAAAGTAAAAAAACGTCCCATAATTCATATATAAATTCCAAAATAAGAAATACCATCAGAGCAATTTAAACTTGAAGTACCATATTCATGTCTCACAGCAGATACTCACACTCAGCTTTGATAGCGGTAGTGTTGACAGGTATGTACGGGTGTCTGGCCAAATATCTGGATCTCAACAGGTCCTGGCAGACGCGTCGAGCAGCTTTCGTCAGCTGAGACGTGTGCAGGTAGAAAGCCTGTCTGGTCTTAACGGCAAACTTTGGGCTTCCGCTATGTCTCACGGGCAGACCGTGAGTAAGAACTTGGTTCATGTTTTAATCTAAATACAAAAAAAAAAAAAATCCCAATCATTTAGATACTCTTATTTGTCATTGACCCTCAATTTAATAATAAAAAAAAGTAAAAAAACGTCCCATAATTCATATATAAATTCCAAAATAAGAAATACCATCAGAGCAATTTAAACTTGAAGTACCATATTCATGTCTCACAGCAGATACTCACACTCAGCTTTGATAGCGGTAGTGTTGACAGGTATGTACGGGTGTCTGGCCAAATATCTGGATCTCAACAGGTCCTGGCAGACGCGTCGAGCAGCTTTCGTCAGCTGAGACGTGTGCAGGTAGAAAGCCTGTCTGGTCTTAACGGCAAACTTTGGGCTTCCGCTATGTCTCACGGGCAGACCGTGAGGACTCTGAACACAGACAGCGAGATGAAAGTCAAGCTCTGGGTAACAGCAAAATCGAAATATTGCATTTTACTTTTAAAGTCCACAAATTTCACTTTTAAACATCTTTTAAACATAAAAGAAAAACAAAGTTTCGCTCATTCAGGGCATTCATAACAGTCACAAAGAGACATATTAAAACAGAATTGCACAGTAAAAGAAAAAAAAGACTAAATAAAACGACTCAGGGGAGAGAGCAAGAATTTCATGTCAAGAATTGACTCGGAGCCCTGTGGAGCATGTTTGGAGAGAATCCACTTTACACCCACCATGTTGTTGCGGTTGGGTCCAGGCCTCTCTCCATCCAGTCTGGTTGGCATCTTCAGACCTCCGTACTTTTTCCAGTAAGTCCAGCAGGAGGCACACAGTCGGCACTGCATGTTGGGCGGCCCCCATGAGTACCACTGATACGAGCTAGTGGCTACACACAAACAAAACACATCAAACTCCTTCCAACACTACTCTGCTCTACTCGCTGTAGTTTAACCTTTAACCTGAAATAATATTAAAGCTGGCATATAATAGAAAACAGGATTTATCCTGTTAAATAATAATAAATAAATAAATAAAATAAATAAAAGTCAAATCAGTGCTCAGCTACTTTATTGTATTCAGCCTGTACTGGTTGGGACATTATTACTTATTACTTGCTTATTTCATGTGCATTATTCCATGAGGTTAACCAATCATAACAGATGTCATTTACATGTAGAACAGTGTTACTATAGTATTATTTTTATTTGTATTTATTGATATTTTGAATTCGCTTTTTTATTCTTAGTATTTTTTTTTTTATATATAGTTTAAATTTGAGTAATTTTGCTGTGTTTCTGTCATCATTATTGTTTTTTTTTATTAATATTAACAATATTTCTATTTAACTATATATATATATATTTTTCAATTTTAGTTTTAATAATTTTAGAACTTCAACTTACAATTATTTCAGTTAGTTGCCAAGGCATGATTTCTAATTTTATTTTATTTTATTTGAGCTTTATTACAATTACGGAAAACACATTTTACACAACACAGTTTTCAACTAAAAATCGAAAACGTTTTATGCATTTTGGCCTTTCAATTACATGACAAAGGGGTTTTCGGGGTCTGATGCAAACTTTTGAAAATGGGTGTCAAAGTGCAAGTTTTTGAAAATAATACCGTTATAACTACAAAAACGTGAATTTATGAAAACAGTGACTTTGTGTGCATTCATATTACATGTATGTGTGTAATATTATATATAATTACATGTGTAATATTTCTTTACAAAGTGACATCACCAAATGCTGGCCTGCCATGCATAATACAGTGTTTTTAAGTCTTTATTGCAGATCTGTGTGAACAGGGATCGTTTCGACAATGTTTGTACGTGGAAAAACACAAAATAATAACTTTTTGGTTGTAAACGCACCCTTAGTTAACAACAACAACACTGATGTAGAAATCATCAAGGTATAGCAGCAAAAAATTGCATGTTTAATTCTAAGTCCGGGAAAACTACATGACTACTGCTTTTTGGCGCTTTTCCACTGCATGGCATGGATCGGCTCGCTTTTGGGGGGTTTTCCACTGTGTACAGTACCTGGTTCCTGGTACTTTTTTCAGTACCACCTCGGCTGAGGTTCCAAGCGAGCCATACCGTTACCAAAATGTGACATGTAAACCCTGCTGATGACTGATTTGCCAGAGAGAATCGCCACTTCCTGTGTCATTGAACTTGAATTTACTGTTTCATGGTCTGTTGAGGAAGTACAGACGTTCCTCTCGTTGATAGCCGAGGAGCGGATCCAGCGAGAGCTTGATGGGACGACGCGGAATTAAAAAGTTTTTCAGGAGGTCGCGGCAGTAGAGGATGCGCAACTATAACGACATGTGAATAATCCCGCCCACTCTAAAGCGGTACTGAACTGCAGTGGAAACACAAACTGAGCCGAGCTGAGCCGAGACGTACCGTGCAGTGGAAAAGCGCCATTTGATGAGAAAAATCTCGATTAACATTACCAGGGGGAAAAAATGCTAAAAAAAAAACTGTAGAATATGTCTTCAAAGTGGAAGTGTATTTTTTTTTTACATGTACAAATACTTTGTCCTATTCCAGTTTAATGTCACCTTTAACATTTGAATTACTTAAGAGCTGGTCAAATACTCACTGAAACAGCTCTCGCATGCTCTGCCCAATCCGACCGGCTGGCCTGGTGATCCCGGAAGAGCCCCTGCTCCATTCACAAGCCCTGGCTTCACACTGTTCACGCTCAACTGGTTAGGGTTGGGCTTGTTACTGTAGAAAAAAGGCCATGACGGTTACTGGATTTCATCTGGTCAAAGTGCAATCACTTAAAGCTTATGATGAAATGCCAAATCCAGGGTTCAGCTTCGACCTGTTGAAATACTCACTAGTTTGGGATGTAAACCTGCTTTAACTTGCTCTCAGCCTCGGCTGCTTTTAATCGTTTCTGTACGAAACAAGAGACAGTTAGTCTCAATGTGAAAACTATCTAGGTTTTCAACTTGTACACAGAGACTTGATACAGCCGTGTTGGATTACCTGCTGAACGTATCTGTCTGTGGTCTTCCACATGTAGTAATACTCAATGATGCTGGTCAGAGACTTCCAAGGAAGCTGGAATAGAACAATAAAAGCTGAATACTTCACTAAAATCATCAACAAAATAGCCGTTTAATTACATTTAACCCCATTTTGTAAAATGGGTAGGTTACAAGAATATGAAAATTCTGTCATAATTTACTTATCCTCATGTCTTTCCAAACTCACAGGACTTGCATTTATCTTTGAAACACAAATTAAGATATTTTTTACGAAATCCGAGAAATTTCTGCTCCTCCACTGAACATCCACGCAGTCCAAAACTTTGATGCTTATAAAGACATTGTCTCTATAAATTGAGCAGTTTAATTAAAGTCTTCAGAAGAGACATGATCAATTTACTTAATGAACACATTTAAATTAGGCTTTTTTTCCACATATAAACACTGATGTGAGATAAATATACGATGTCTTTCTAATGTGTGAAAGTGTTGGTTACACTGACTTTTAATAAATGGACAAAAAGGATGAGAGAATATTAAAAAGTACCTTTATTTGTGTTCTGAAGATGAACAAAAGTCTATGACATTTTAAAACCTTTTAACTCGAGATCACTGAGTCAGATCATTAAATTGAACTTGAGAAACGGATAAGTGAACGAGTCTCACACATTAAAACGGTTCAAATCACTGACTGGTGCAGCGGCTCTTGAGGTGCAGCTCACTGCAGGTGTAGATTATGAGTGAATAATAATTACAGTTTTGGTCAGTTTCATACATAGTTTTCATATGGTTTCAGACGATTTGAAATGAGACATACGGATTCTTTTATGGAGCTTTTTTGGTGTTTTTTGAGTTTTAGAGTTGATGCATGAAAATATTTAAACATATCAGTTGTTTTGTTCCACAGAAGGAAATCATATGGATTTAAAAAGCAACATCAAATGGGTGAGTAAATGATGAGTTTTCATTTTTGGTGAAAGGAATCTTTTTCTGAAGCAAATCCGTTTGTGATGGCAAACAGAAACCCAGCTCCATTTCCCATCCTTTGTGTCCCTGAATAAGCTGGTTCACTTCTTTAGGGTGTGCCCATTTTCCATGCCTGGCTCCTCCCTGTTTCTCTAAGTAGAGATTTCTAAAACCCCGAGCCGAAACACTCAGTGCTGCACATACACCCATCAACCACCAGATGGCAGAGTTAAACACACACTTGGCACACTCGCTGTCCCTAAACAAAGGCAGTTTATCAGTCATTACTGCCACAATTACCTTAACATATGCTGTTCAAATCTTTTCAAAGCCACGCTATGCTGTAGTACAAACGGAAGAAATTCAGCCTGAACACCCTTCTGGGATGAACTTACAAAGTCTTGCTGGATATCAGTGAAGTCTTTGCCGTATTTCTCGAGCGCTTCCTCGAACAGGTTGGCTTCGGACGCGCTCCATTCCTCCATTTCATCCCGGCAGAGCACCGGCCCACCCTGGGGTACCAGCGCCGCGATGGCCCGTGTCATGTCATAGCCGTTCTTATGCAACGTGTCCATGGCGTGAAACTGAAAATAAAAAAAATTTGAGATAAGAAAACATCATAAACGATGGCTCAAATTCAAGATTCGTCACCAAACATTCCATTGTTTTCAGAAAATCGGAATTGCTCAATCCTGCGAACAACATTGACACTAGACGAAGAAGAATTGTGTGGGCAGCATGAGCGTGTGTATGTTTATGCATGGGGATGTTGCCCTCTGGCATCTTTCCTTCATGTTTTGTACACAACGGGCAGAGTTGGGTGGCTGGAGAGTGAAACCCATGCTCTGATGTTCTTCTCGTACAGCCTATAGGCTGAGACTGAACACTGAGCTGGCAATAGGCCTGTCGCAATTATTACATAATCACCTAGTGGGGATTATTTGATCTAATTGTGATTATTTGAGATGATCACTGTGCACTTTAAATTCTAATCAAATTTTGCCACTCATATTATGAGTCTGAGCATCCTGACAGAAACACTAGCTCAACCAATGGCATGAATTTGACTGACCAATGGCATCCAAGAAAGCTACGTGTAACAGCCCTTATTTTTGTAATTCTGCTTGTTGAACTGTCACACTTTAACTTTAAGTAAAATGGAAACCGGACACACTAAAGGCTCGTTCACACCAAGCACGATAACTATAAAGATAACGATAAAGATATAGCTCTAAAAATCGTTCTCAATATTAAAGAATAGCATAGTTCACACCACAACTATAACGATAACGATACAGAGGAACGATATCGTTGTGATCACTTTCAAAACGATTTTTTTTCCAGCTGATGAACGATAAAACACTGACAGCCAATCAGAATCCATCCTGCTGTAACGAGCTCAAGAATTTAAAGCGGAAGACACATGTGCGCTTAGAATAAACGGACGATATCGTTCGCTGGTGTGGACGCTAATATCGTTATCTTTATAGTTATCGTTCTTGGTGTGAACGGGGCTCAAGACTGACGGTAAAACCAAAAATGCTAATTTTAAAGTAGCCTTTGTTTGAAATAACTATACATTTAATTAATAAAATATGACATCTAAAACACAACAATGCCTAATACCGTATTTCTATAATTCATTAATCGTTTTTCCTTGAACTGGTGTCGATGAAATAACATTTAAAAATATTGAATAAACTTCAAAACAGCATAATTATTCATGTAATTATTCAGTCAATGTTGTTTAATACAATTTTGACTTTAAATAAACTATTACAAACTGAGTAGATGTTTTTGTTGACTTATGACAGAATACTAAAAACAAAATCTCTAAATCTTAAATTGACTTTTGGCTGATATAAACACATCTGTACTTACACAACAAAGGACAAAAGGTTTATTTTCCATTTCTAAAAGGAAAGGAACATGTGAGCTGGTTCCTTTTTTTAATGTATCACACAAGATGATGGTTTAAATGGCCTTTCACTCTCTGCGCTAGTTCATGGATACAAACTGAATTTGTAATTGCATTTGAATTTTGACTGCAATATGCTTCCACACAGTCACTTTCCCATCAACATATTGTATCATCCTTTATCAGTCATCATTTACACTAAATCTAACTAAAACTGGATCTTATCATGCACACATTGCTTCTCCAAATTAATGATTCTACTATCAGATATTAATCGTTTCTGTTCAAATTTGCAGCCTATTTTGTCTTTCACACAAAAAAAAAAATTTGGGGGGGCATTTTCTGCTCAAAGTTTTTAGTGTGTGATATTCTAGTTTATCTGTACAGGTTATCAGACAAAAGCTAAATAACACGCAATGACAAAGATAAGATGAGATCAGAAAAGAGTATATAAAAATGATGAAAATAATATGATGAAAAAGCATCACGGATGTTCAGGATTATGTATCGTATTAGCTAGGCTGTATTCAACATTTTAGAATAAGATGAGAAAAGATATTTATTATGCCTCTTTTGACAGGATTAAATGTCATAATGTAATGTAATGTAATGAATATTATCTGGCTATAATACAACATTTGATGTTTAATTCACTATAAAGAAAAAAATTCAGTAACAACCAGTTTCAGAATTGGACAAATGATCCAAAAAGGTTTGAGTTGTTTTTTTTTTGTTGCATATGTCTGCCATTAATTAGTATGAACCTGCTGAGCTTAACTACAGTGTGAAGTCTTCCAGAAGCGTGTAGAGTGTGCGAGAGTGTGAGAATGTGCCGTACCAGTGTGATGTCTCTGGAGGCTGCCGCAGCGCTCATGTGCAGACTGGGCTGCCGAACTGAACTGCTGCAGTCTAGAGCCCGCGCAAACGTACCCACAGACCTGCATGGGAGGGGGGTTGGGGAAGTTTGAGAAAGAGAGGGAAAAAAATGTGAAAGAGAATGAGTGAGTGAGAGCGAGCAAAATATGCAGTTTGAAATAACAGGGTATAGAGTGGTACAAAAAAAAATAGATAATATTTCGGAGGCATCTTCAGAATTTCATAGTTGAGGTTTTTGTTGTTTATTGTCTTTTAAACTCAGTGATATGTTCACAACAGACTGCCACACGAAAAACAGAGCAAATTTGCTCCCGCTGCAGAATCTTACCGAGCCACGACAAGGAACTGGTCGATCTGTTTCTCGGTGAGGGGGATGCTGGGATCCCACACCACCTCCTCCAGTTTTTCCAGCTCCCGACCATCATCCTCTCCTGACAAACCAACACCCACAGATCACATTCACTACAGGACACACACTGCTTTAAAATGAGACTTTTGTTTCGCTTTCTTCCTGAAGCCATTGTTTTTTTTTTGTTGCATATGTCTGCCATTAATTAGTATGAACCTGCTGAGCTTAACTAAAGTGTGAAGTCTTCCAGCAGCGTGTTGAGTGTGCGAGAGTGTGAGAATGTGAGATGTGCCGTACCAGTGTGATGTCTCTGGAGGCTGCCGCAGCGCTCATGTGCAGACTGGGCTGCCGAACTGAACTGCTGCAGTCTAGAGCCCGCGCAAACGTACCCACAGACCTGCATGGGAGGGGGGTTGGGGAAGTTTGAGAAAGAGAGGGAAAAAAATGTGAAAGAGAATGAGTGAGTGAGAGCGAGCAAAATATGCAGTTTGAAATAACAGGGTATAGAGTGGTACAAAAAAAAATAGATAATATTTCGGAGGCATCTTCAGAATTTCATAGTTGAGGTTTTTGTTGTTTATTGTCTTTTAAACTCAGTGATATGTTCACAACAGACTGCCACACGAAAAACAGAGCAAATTTGCTCCCGCTGCAGAATCTTACCGAGCCACGACAAGGAACTGGTCGATCTGTTTCTCGGTGAGGGGGATGCTGGGATCCCACACCACCTCCTCCAGTTTTTCCAGCTCCCGACCATCATCCTCTCCTGACAAACCAACACCCACAGATCACATTCACTACAGGACACACACTGCTTTAAAATGAGACTTTTGTTTCGCTTTCTTCCTGAAGCCAGCTTTCACCTAATGAGAACTTAATTTAGTTCTTACAATTAGTGCAAGCAGCATTAGTGGGCAACCAATATAATGACTAAGATGTTTAATTGGGTGCTAGCTGGCTTTTTGAGATTATCCCAATCAGGCATTAAAGTCTGTATGAAATTGCGATCATCTTTTCATCTCTATTATAACAGAGTACTATATCCGAGTGAAACAGCCTCTTGAATGAGAAAAAAAAATCTAGGCTGGAACTTGAATGCACAGGTAAAGTATGTTCCTGGCCTTTAATATAAACACAGACAAATGAACTGGTGAAGGCCAGTGTTTGCGACATTAGAGGACTGGCTTGACTTGAGTCTCCAGCCTCCTCATTACTAAATATGAAGAGGAACATACTGGGTCAACACACTGAATTATTCATCTGGATTGGGACTCAAAACTAACTCTCATACACACACACACATCAGATAAACATTTCCCTCTTGCAGACATACTGTGAACGGAGATACGAAGAGCGCAAGCAAATTCAAGCAAACAAAAGCATTTGCCCATGCGTAGAAACACCTCAGCATAATGCTGTGACACTCACCTCTCTGTCTAAATAGGACTTGAGGGCTTCCGTCTCATTCAGAAGTGTAACACAGCATTTCCCCCTGAAAAAAAACAACACAAACACGCAGGTTTAGCAGTGGATTGAATCACATAGCCTTATATGCCATTAAATAGATCTGAATCGCTTCACATAGTTCATTCACAGTACTGCTGGACAGAATTTTGTGTTTGGCTGTGGTTTAGAAATGAGTATTAGAGTGATTATGATCATTTGTTATTTCATTCCATTTAAAACTGTATCACACAATTTAGAATGTAAAAACTTATTCAATATTGGGAGCCAAAAGTATCAGAAACAGACAATTCTTCCTTGATGATTATAGTTAAACAGGTGCATTCGTTCAAAGCAGCTTGTCTAACTGTCGCCAACTGAGCCTAGTTTTGCAAGTAATGATTATTTTGATTTTTTTTTTCAAGTAATCTGACTGAGAGGAAAAGTATAAAAAATTGTGAAATATCAAACAAGGTTTTGTCTTCAATCAAAACAATGTGTTTTTTTGTTTGTTTTTTTTGCAAGTACATCTCTCAAAGGTCATAATATGTATAAAGTTTGAAAAGGTCTAAATAAAAAAACCTGGTCCCCAAGATATTAAGATATTTGGTTATAATGCGTAGAAAAAGCTTATGCTTTGATGCTTAGAATTCAATCATTTCAAATTTTATTTGTACTTTATTTGACTAAGTTTGCATGAATTAGAACTCCTGACAGATCCCAGAGCTAAAATACACCTAGAAAACATCAAACCAACAAAGTTACATGCAAACATTAAAGTTGGTGTAAATATGAACATTGCGCATCCTGACCTCTTTCCAGTATCGTATCAATATAAATTGTGGCAAAATGGCCAAGAATACCATTTTAAAAATACTACACTGCAAAAATCTTTTTCTTATTCAAAATTTTTCTTGTTTTCCAGTAAGAATATCTAAATATCCTCAAAGCAAGGTCAATTGACATCATCAGCAAAAATCCGATAAAATTTTAAGCTACTAAAATAAACTTATTTTTTCCCTTTGAATTAAGTTTATTTTTCTAGCAAACAGACTTCAAACAGACTTAATTTTTTTCCCCCAAAGTAAATGTATCTTGTTTTAAGGATAATTAGATATTTTCCTTCGAAAAACAAAACAAAAATGCTGAGTAAGAAATGTTTTTGGCAGTGTAGCCAAAGCCCTCACATGAGATTTGAGTAACTCCTGAATTCTAACTTAACTCTGTTGTTGTGTTTAATGCCAGTAACATTTTAATAACATTTAAAGACAATTATCTCTATTTTTAAATAAAGAGGTTTCCAAACATAATCCTTTTTTTTGTGTTTACTGCCAGTACCCTTGTCCATGTTTTTAGGTCACTGCAAATGAGTAAAACAGGAGGAAAATTCCAATCAACTATATTTTGAAACGGAGTCACTGTTTCAGCCCCTGAGAGAGATGATGCTTGCCGTCCATCTTTCATCACCGAACAACAGTGAAGAACCTGTTCATCCAGAAAGGTTTAATGTCAAGCTCACTCCACCCTTGGGTCCGACTTTCTTCGCAAACACAAAAGATGATTTACATGTTCGCGAGTCAGACGTGACCTGGTCAGCAACTCAGGTTTGTAAGTAGGACACGAGCGGATGTGGTGGTTTAAAAAGCAGCCTTATGCTGAATGGCCGCTTTCCTGAGAACAACGACTTCATAGCAACTTCCAAAATAAAAGTGGGCATGATCCTCATTAAATGGTTCTATTCACATGACTCGATGAAAAATACAAGCCCTTGAGCAAAAAAAAGATTGACTCAATTTTCAATTGCTCTCCGCTGAATTCGTAGCGATGAGAGAGCGGCATGAATGAACGAGAGGTTAATACTCTCCTGTGCTGGGGACTCCATTAGGCCAGAACATGAAAAAGACTGAAGGGAGCCAGTATGTGTGTGAGATGTGTGACTCACACACAGACGCTAATGAGAGAGAGTCCAGTTGGCTGTTAGAGAGAACACCGCAGAACGAAGCGTATCCTCAATATCAACAAAGCTTTTTGTAGGTTACCTGATGTGTGTCGCAGGCAGAGACTCCAGCTGTCTAGAGAGGAAAAGCTCTCTGTGTCTCAGCTGATGCTTCTGTTTCTCTGGGAGATCCACTATTTCAGGGTTCTCCATCTCCTCTTCCATTTCTCCTAAAACTCAAAGGGAAAAGATAAACAACCTTCATTTGTCCACCTTATACCCTTATTAATATTATTACAGATGTGATGCTGTATGTTGATGCTAATTGGCTGATTTTCATAGTTATATAGGCACCAGAATGTTTAAAAGTAGTAAGCATTAGGGATGCTCCGATCAGGATTTTTGCAGCCGATACTGAGTACCGATTTCTTGTCATGGTGATCGGCCGATACCGATGCCGTCCAATTCTGATGCTTCAAGCTTTATATAGGTTTCATCGGGCGCACGCGCCTGGCCCGAAGTTAACTTCCGGTCTGTGTTTGTTTATCAGTCTGGCTATGGCGCCGGCTACAAACGCAGTTAAAGATAAGGTGATGAGTAGATTGAAGTTGGGTTCAGGTAGTTGTGCTGTGGGATGTGTTTCCCATGGATAAAATAAATCATAAATGATGCAAATATTAACTACATTTTTTAAAATACATTTTTTTCATGAGGCAGACGATTTCGTCTGTGACAACTCACAAAAGACTATTTTTAGCCAAGCAGCATGGAGAGCCGCTTAAGCACTGACTAGAGCGGCCGCGATCAGCTCCAGTAGCCGTGGAACCGTAACGCGCCGCAGATGTGTGCAGTGAGGCGCAGATCAGCTCTAACATCACTGAATCTGCTGTTAAAAATGAACCATCCATTCATCATATCATCATGCAAAACATACACGACAAATAGCGATTTTTTCATTGTTTCTCGACACGTAATAGCATTTCCACACCAGCGATGACATGACTGTGGCGCCAAATCATTAAATTATGTCCCCACGCATCATGTACGTCGTCACGCGTTGACGTCATCAAATTGTGATCGGTTCGTGAGATCGGCCAAGTGTAGTGAGTACCGATCGAGTCATAAAATGTGATTATCGGCCGATCTCACGAACCGATCGAGTCATAAAATGTGATTATCGGCCGATGCCGATCGATCGGAGCATCCCTAGTAAGAATGTTTAATATTGGCCATTTATTGGTTATTGGCCATAACATGAAATTTATAAATGGCATCGAAGCTATAAATCTCTTGACTCCAAGTTCTCCCATGTGTCAGTTGCACCTACTGGAACATTTATCGGTTTTCAGATATTTCTGAATGATCTCACACAGTATTTACTCAAAATCATTTACCTTTCATGCAATTTAAAGGTGCAGTATGTAACATTGACAGTCAGCTAGTGGTTGAAATGGGTACTATGGTTCAATTCCAAAATACTGGAGAGAGCCGTTTCTGCTGTCCCCTCCTCCTCAGACTCGACACGCACGTGGGTTGCCAGATTGAGGACCATATGCAACAGGAATGAGCACAACTGACAATGGAAGGCGACGACGAGTTGATTTAGTCACATTTAATATGTTTCTGGTCAACACAGGGTGACGAAATACTATTAGGTAAATTGGCAGTGGGCAGAATCACACAGACCAAAACAAAAACAGACATTCCGACATGGAACTCACATTTCAAAGTAGAATAGCTGGCTGTAGGATTGTTTTTCAGAGAAATTAAGTATGTGATGTTGTAAACTTATATTTTTACGCTTTAGTACAGTAAAAACAAAAATTGCATACAGCACCTTTAAGCAATTTTTTGTCATTTAATATCATATATGTCATGATGTAATGCAATATAGTATGTAAACAATAGGCCATCCAGTCAGAACATATTCCAATTAAAACTTCAAATGAAATTTGAAAAACCAGTGTCAGTCAATCACTATTTGGCAAGCTAATAGTAATGCTAAGGGAGCATTCACACAGTGCTCGTGCATTTCATTATAGAATTTTTGCATTCCACTCCGCTGCTTTTTCATTGTTTTTATGTAAAAAAAAAAAAAGTTTTTGACCATTGCACTTGTGTCTTTTGTGTTATAAAAATGTGGTGCTCAAGTTAAGTTCAACTTTTAAAAACTGTGCTTTGAGACCTTTTTTTTTTCCATTTCTTTGCCCTGTGTCTTGCAATTTTAAACACAACAATGCCTTCTGTATGAACGACCCCTAAGGCTATCACAATTACTTTTGATCATACTGAAGGTCATAGATTACAACCTAACTAAAAGTATTGCACTTCGGTGTGTAACTCACACCACACTGTTTGTCACAGACATGAATGTCGCTCCAAATCACAAGGCTTGTTGAGGAGAAAAACCCATGTAAACTACATTAAAGGAGAAACCATATAAGACATATCTAGCGATCAAGATATTTTAGGCCCCTTTACCTGCAATGAACTTGTGCTTTCTGTGATCACGATCAGATCTTACTTGATCACATAAAAATCCAGGTATTAAAAAAAAAAAAGATAACCCTAAAAACTAGCAAAAACATAGCAAGTTAGCAGCACACTAAAATCCACTTAATAATCACAGCAATAGACCTTTTTCCAAAAAGAAAAAAAAAAAAACACATTCAAAGTGTTTTATGGAGTTTTTGCACACTAAAGTTATGAGTTTTGAAAATTATGTGATCTAGGACAGTGGTTCGCAACTTTTTTGACTGTAATTTGAAGGACCGACACTACAAGAGCTGAATGTTCATCATGGTTCTCACTCTTTTTAACCAATGATTTTAAATTGACTTCATGATTTAATGGATACAGATTTACCCGATAAAGAATTTTAGAGCTTGGAATAACTATAAAATTGTTCATCAAAATGCCTAATATTTATTAATTTATATGACTTTGAGGTCTAGAAATCACAACAAGACAGTGGGATCCCTGGTTCTTCCAAAGAAAAAAAATGAAACCGTGAATAAAATATGAATCATCTTTCCGTTTTTGTGGTTTTGTCTCATTTTAATGCTTGTTTTGCCTTATTTTAATCATTTTAAGGCCACTTGGAAGTTTGCTGAGGCGCCCTAGTGGACCCCGACCCCCTGAGTTGAGAACCAAAGATTTAGGACCTTAATACAGCGCATGCCTTTGTTTGTAAAACCTGTAAATATATCCCTCACAGCATAATTTTGATCCACTTAATTCAATAGGGTATCTTCCTTTGACTAATATACATGCATCTATCCATCTATCCTTTTCTATTGACAGCAACTTACAACAAACAAGTAAAACCTTGGGGCATTTAAACCTATAAAGTGTAATGTCTTATATTTGATATGCAAAGGCCTCTAAATTAACAACATGATTAAACCCTTGCTGAAAAACCTGTTGTACACAACCCACTACATGCCGTCTACAAGCCTGATGAATTAAATATGATACTAAACAAAACCATTTATGTATTTATTTAATAAATTAAAATTTTCATGTCTGGCTTCACAGGGTTAAACCTACAACATTTCTACAAGCACTACAAAGACGCTAATCAGGGAATCACACCATCTTCACAGGACTGAAAAGTTCAAAGTAAGGTGCAGATGAGTTGGTGAACGTCATTCATCCAACCTAAAAATGCATCTTTTAAACAGAGACTAATCAAACACAATGTGTGCAAATGTGAAAATGACTGCAAACAACCAAAAGAGAGCAAGACGACACAGACGCCTTGTCTTAATTTGGGTTTACGCTAACACATTATCACCCTTCTCTTAAAAAGATTACTGGGGATGTACAGAGAAAGACGACATCTCAAACCCCACATATATGTGCTGTATGGAGGAAGAGTGAGACGGAGAATGATAAGTGGGAGAGAGTCGACAAGGAGGGAGGGAGGGAGGGAGGGAGAGAAACCAGCGAGCGTGCTTCAATTCATTTGGAGTTTCATTAGCGAAAGAGAGAGAGACAGATGGAGAAACATGGAGAGGAAGGGTAAGGCAGCAGAACAAAAAGAATCAAGCGATTTTCAAAAAAAACAAAAAAAGATGTTTGTCTGAAATCAATAAGTATTCCCTCCTCTTCATCACACGCTCCAACATTCAGCACACACGTACGCCTGTCACAAGCTATCTGGTTTTATCTTGCTATGAAGAAATCTGAAACTACAGTGAACATGAGCGGGTGGTCACTTTACAAGCGCTGCACATCAGTAACTCTTCTATTACAGCTGTGTGTGGAGTATCGACAACCCCTGCTGAGATCCATGTGGAGCGAGGGATAGAGATGGACCCTGAAACAAAGAGAGTGAATGGGATAAGATGACGCAAAAAAATAGAGGACAAGAGAGAGAGGAACAGCCCTGTGGCTATGAGCAGCCTGCCGCGTCCTTGAGAGCCGTCGAGAAGAGAGGAGCTGAACTCAGTAAACTCCGGTTGTAGTTCTGAGAAAGCCAAATCATTTGGCCCTGCACTCTGCCTATACTCAACAAATTACCTCTCCATTTCACCCGTCTTAACCAATTATCAATTATTGATGAATGAATCGCCTTACCAGGCGTAGGGGAATAAGAGAAGAGGAGGTGGGGCTGAGAATGGAGAACCGTTTTTATTCACAACATCTTCATTTTCGAATGATTTAATGCGTTTGGTTCCGTTAGCGGTTTTTGAATGTCTGCATTCATCTGTTGATCATAAAACTCATGAAGTTTAAATGAGAAGATTTGTTGGGTTCTAATCAGAGGTTAAAGAGGACTAAAAACTAGATTTACACATTTTCTGAACAAAATGGTAATGCTTGTCCATGCAAAACTCACTAAGCTAGGGTGATGTGGGTGGTTCTTGACAGGCTGCTTTCTGGTCCAAGTCGAAAGAGTCCACCCTCATATGTCTATGATATTCTGGTCTCTAGATATGACTCTCTGTAAATCTATTAGATTTTTTTAAAGGTTTTATCATGTGCCAGATGATTTTTTTTTGTGTTGTATAAACCAAAAAAGAAATAGCACATATCTCCTCAACAAACCAAATGATTCATGTCTATAGCACAAACTGTGTGGGGAAAAAAAATGAAGGACAAATAAACAGAGGTAGAGTCGTGAATCTACAAACTGTTCTTATCCTGTTGTGCTTCATTTAAAAAATAAATAAATAAAAATACTGATTTTCTTGACATTGGATTCTGTTAATTGTTCTTCAACATT